TACATGTTGCCAGAAAACTCAGCGTGCTCAATGAACTCCCCTTTGTCGATGCCCTCCTGCATGGCCTCCCTCGTTGTGAAGTGATAGTCTGCGGGGAGCAACGTGCAGAATGAATCGAGCTCTGCGTGGAAAACAGTCTATCAAAGCAAAATCAAGCAGGAGCTCACTACAGTGTAGCAAAGCTTCCACGGTGTAACAGCCTGTCATAGCTGATCACGCGTGTCTGAGCCGCATTTAAACTGCGATTGTCTCTACGTGTGTCCACACGCGACCCACAGACCCACACAGGGCAGAGTTTCAAAAGCAAACACGTTACTACGAAGCATTAGCATGACAACATGAAGGAGTCAGACTGAAGCATCAGTTTGGAGAGAAACGCTGTAAAATAAGCAGGAGAGCAGGTCACGTGGATTTAAACAGGGCGGATATTTCTGCTCGTGTTAAAATCCTCGTTTATTAAAAGTTGTGATGGAAACCTGTTCATCACTCAGGATTAGTTTAAAGCACCTCGACTAAAGAATGCAAAAAAATGCAACAAGTTCTAAAATTATTTTAAAATAACCTTTTGTTCTCCTGCATGTTGCCAGTGGTCGTTTGCATCTTGCCTATCGGGAAAAAGAGGAAATGGGAACACCAGTGTGGATCTAAAGACGTGTGGGAGTGGAAATGGGAATCACTGCTGAGGCATCACAGGGGGCTATTTTCAAAAGCTTGTTACTCCAAAGTGTAAACTGTCTCGTCTTCCTGAGGTCATTGTACTTTTTAAAAATATATATTTACATGATTTTCAATTTTTTGACCAGTTCCTATGAATCCAATGACAGCGTGCCAGGATGATGAAAGTAACCCCCCTCCATCTGCGTAAAATACACTGTGATCAGGAATCACACTGAGATCACCTTCATCTGTGGTTTCTGATTCGTTTGGACACAATGAGGCTGACATTTCTATGTCCTCAGAGGATAAGACGGCTGCTACGGGCAGTAAAGTAGCCCCCAGAAGCATGGGGAGCTTGTTCAGTCCTATGGAGAAAACAAAGAAGGCACAGAGAGCTTTATCCCAAACCAAGGGAGCCTCACAGGGTGGCAAACCAGTCCTGCAGTTCACTTGGGAGTAAGAAGTGCTGTGGGTGTGGAGTGGGTGGGGGGAGGCGAGGAAACAAAATGAAAGGAGCTCGTTCGTCAGATTCTCCACTTTTATCCACTTTTATCTCTGCAAGCTCGAATCCAGATGCAGGGCTGATGTTCTGTGATTCATGTGATCCTAACACGACGTGAAAGCACTAAACTTAAAAAGTGTCAGCAACAAGCCGGGTTTCAGTCATAAGTGTTGTACCTTTGCCATCTTCTTCTCCTGGTCGAGGGTTTCTCGTCGTGTCTGCGGGGAAAGAATTGCAGAAACATCAGTGTCAACGTTACAGCCGTTACTGCAGAATCAGCTGCTGCTTCCTCCTCAGACAGGACGCTTTGCAAAGGAAGCTGAACATCAGTTGGCACAAAAACGTACGTGAGACGCTGAATCCAAAGACTCCTTCGTGCTCCTTCATCAGCCTCTTCAACAGAGTGCTCTTCCCTGCTCCGGAGGGGCCACTCAGCACCACGGGCCTCGGTCCCGACATCGTCCTAAGAGCCACAGACGGGGGAGGAGGGGTCTATTAGAATTAGAGGTTTGTACAGACCACACGTTTCACAGGCGGTGAGTATGGTGTCTTTCAGGTGCTTTACCTTAATAATCTCCCTTTTTCCTGTGAATTGCTGCTCCTGACAAAAACCTCAGCTGTTTGCTCGTCTCAGGCTAAATCTTTTGATCCGAGCTGCTCGACACACCGTGGGGTTAAAAGCAGGCTGTTCCTCTCGTATCCTCTAAGAATTAATTGACACTCAGAAATTTCTGTGTCCTTAATTAAAGCATCAAAATGCGTGCACGTCCTAATTGCTGACTGGTTAGACAGCCAGAGGCCTTGAGGTCAACACTAAGGATGCCTGTTAATGAAGCCACGAGGGGTCAGTCAGCTGGGATAATTGGATCTGAGCCAGGTGGCGCTCAAGGTCCAGGACAGGTGAGTCGTTTACCCAAAGACCGGATGAATCCCCGTTAACAGAATTACCTGATAACACAAAAATCTTCCCCAGCAGCACGTTGACTGAACTGATCAGCTCGAGCACTCTTTCATTCGCACACCAGCTGACTGCTGATGGGAACTCATCCGTGGTTACAGAGTTACTGCCTCTAATGTTGGAGCGAACACACGAGCAGGAGGATAATCCACAGTCTGTTTATCACTATTAACACTGTTAGTTTTCCTGCAAAGATAACAACAGCTTATCTATTATCGTTTATTAACATTTTAACTCTGCACCTTTCCTTCCTCATTCAAAGAGCAGACGCTGAATTTGTCCCAGTCGCTTTTTCTTGGTGGAACACAGACTCACACATTTTCACTCTATATAACAGCTGTTTCCTAATAAATGTGTCTGTATGTGCATGTAGGTATATGTGTGTGTGTTTGTATGTATAACTTGTGCACATCTTTCTTGTGTAAATGTAAATGCCTGTTATTCTTTAGATACTTATGTGTGTATTACGCACAACAGAGAGATGCCAAACTGTGTTTCATTGTTCTTGTAACAGTGACAATAAAGAGCTATTCTATTCTATTCTATTCTATTCTGTGCTAATGTTTTACTCTCGTTTTCTTCGAGTTTTATTGACCTTACCTTTTGTCAGAGCGTCTCTGTGTGCGTCGTCTGTGTCGGAGGGACGAGGAGTAACAGATGATCCTGCAGCCGGGCTTCTTAATGGAGTGTGTGCGCGCGTGCGCGGGTGTTTGTGTGCGCGTGCATGTGCGTGCGCGGGTGTGTGTGTCTGTGTGTGTGTGCGCGCGGGGGGGTGCGTGTGTGCGCGCGGGGGTGTCTGTGTGCGCGCGCGTGTGTCACATCGACTCACCAAAGCAGCTGACTGTCAGTCTGGATTACCACCACCTCCCTTCAGCTCACTAGCCAATCACGTCGGGGCATGCTGCCGTCTAACATAAATGTTTCATTTTCATTAGACTCTGATCAGATGACATTTACCTGACTGCTGTACATCCAGGTTATACTCGGCATATTTTTCTTGATGATTCATTATTTGAATAAATAAAAGTTTGATGTGATATAAAATTATTGCTTCGTGTTTGTTGAGGATGAAGAATCTTTGTTTCTGAGTGTTTCGGGTCTTTCTTGGTGCTGTGTGTGTGCTGCATGCAGACTTTGTTTCACAGCCCGCTCACTTCAATACGTGTGCAGTAATTTTTGCCCGTAGATGTCAGAAACTGGACTCTGCCGTGTCTCCACGACGGCGGCGCGTTGCTCTTTTACGTCTCTCTGTGATGCGGCTGAACCTAAGTGGCCTGGCAGTAAAGGCTCAGAATAGCAGGCTTTAGAGTCTCTCAACTCCAGATGAGCTGCGATGGGCTCTGCCTGGCTAATCCCGCAGCGACCCACTTCTTAAAGGGCGCACACACGTCCCACAGCCATCATGAGGCTGTCGACAAACGGCCCACACCTGCGGCAGGTGCAGCAGATACTCTTTAGCTGTTCACAGTTAAAAGATTTCAGGAAACAACCGCCTTTAGACACAGATTTTATTTTAGTAATGTTGATAAAATTAGATTTGAGTGATCCTATACAAAGAAATACGCCAATAACAAAGACAAAGTCCCCGTGTGATGATTATTACTGTAAATGTTTCCAACCTACAAGAGCTAAACAAAGAATAAGTGATCTAAGACAAGCTCTGTACAGTAGATACAGTCTGCTAGTCAACATCCTATACACACACCACTCCAAACATACACACACAATTATGTACATGTGCTTTGTGATTCAATCATCTTTCCATAAAACAGAAAAAAAGATTTTTTTAAAAATCGATAAATAGTCTCAAAGCATTTTTTTCTCAGTGCCTGAGCTCTCAGATGGTTTCAGAGGTTTTTTCTGATCTGCTGGACGATGCAGTAGAAACATATTGTACAGGTCAGAGGTCGCACTCAGTTAGTAGCTGTTAGGAGAACAACGATGGTAAGAGGGACGGGAGGGGGGGAAGGTGGGCTTGCGTGACAGGCCAGCTGCCCAACAAGTCCAAGCCTGATTGGTCAAAACAGAAGAAATCCCTGACAGTGAGTCACAGGTAAACTCGCCTCAGGTCTCCAGGTGAGGTGATGGTGTTGCACTGAGGACACAGCTTCTTTGCTCCCTTTGAAAAAGAGCGGTGAGACTTTTATTACAGACTTTTACTTCGTTCTGGATGTTTTGCATCATTTTTATGTTCAGCTTTTTACCAGCGTTCGAAGCCAACACTCCTCACAGTGAACGTGCCAGCACTGGATGGAGGTGAGCGGCGTTGTGTAGGTGTCCTGCACACAGGAACAGGCAAAATAGTGAGCAACGTTTACCTGCAGTGCGACAAAGCTGCCACTAGGTGTCCACATGTAACTACAATCAGAGCTTTGCAAGGAAGCGACGTTTGAATGTTTGTTGGGATTATCGCTCATTTATTTATCTCTTTTATCCCACTGTGATATTTTACTTTGTAACAATTTTTCTTTTTCAAATTTAAATCACAACAAAATATTTAACTAGCTTTTTTTTTAGCCATGCAAAAAAACTGTTCATTATTACTTAATTATATATTTCCAATAATTAATCACTTACATTTTTACATGTAAAATAATAGAAACAAATAAATTCTCACAGACTGGGGTCGACTTTGAAGAGCAGTGTGTGGTGCATTTGGGCTAAATAAATATTTGAGTGAATAATTGTTCAGTGTTTTGATTCTTTCCGTGTAAAATGAGTCAGTATTTAAATATCGCAGCTTTATCGGATGCTAATATTTGTCGTGTGTATCAAACAGTATTGAGGTCATCTGCAGTCCAGTCTGATCATACGAGGAGTCGCAGACAAAAACATTTTATATATTAAAATATTACTGTATTAATTATGTTAATGAAGAAACAAACACACACCAACATTTTGAATTGTTCTCGTTTCTCTTTTGCTTTAATTCGCCGTCACACTCACCATGCAGATCAGACATTTAAATCTGTCTCCTTTAGACAGCTGTTTCTCCAAGTCCCGTATCCGAGCCTTAAGTGCGTCTAATGTTGTCAGCGTGGAGTCCTCCGAGAGCCTGTGTGCGCACACACACACGCACACACACACACACACACACACACAGGAGGACGAGCGAGGGAGGACACACGAGTTAGGCAGACACTGGAGAGTCATTTATAAATCGAAGACAGATTAAATTATTCGCTGGCCAACATGGACACTGAGCATGAAATTTAGCAGCGATCACGTTGCCTGCACTGGGCGTCTCATTTATCATGGGCAGCGGGGCGGGGCTTAGGTGTCAGCGTCCTCACAGAAATAGACATACACGCGCACAATTACAGGACAGACTATGTGCAAACATACTGTACAGATGCATTCAGCGCAATGAAACGTGTACACGCCTGCATCACCTGCTCAGACCCTGACTGATGACATCATCACACTGATGTAGTATGGTATTATGTGCTGGGGTATAACAGGTACGGCATAAATACAGGACCAGGATACAGAGGAATGGCTTCCTCTGGTTGGCCGATGGACCAAGTGCATGCTGGGAGAAGCAACAGCTGGATCAAGCTGCCTCCACCAC